GCTCTGTATGGAGGGCGTATGATGCCCACGCCTGATAGTCCTCTGGGGAGGAGAGCAAAGAGGAAGGCGTAGTGCGAACAGCTGACCAGTCCGTGATACGGGCTTGGCCCCAGATTTCGCGCATTTTCTGCGTCGGGAAGGCGATTTTCAGCACAAAATGATCACTGCCAAGAGTGTCATCGAGATTTTTCCACGTAGCTTGCCGAATGTTACGCGTGAGTGAGAGGTCTGGACATGTATCGCGTGTCACCGAATTTTCCATACGCCTGGGATTCGCTGGGTCAGTGAGCAGTGTGAAACCAAGAGTGGATATAAGTTCATTAGGCTTCCGGCCGCGATGCTTTTCAAAGTGGTATTCCCAGTGTGGGCTAGGAGCATTGAAGTCTCCGACCACCACCAAGGATTGCCGAGCCGCCGCTTGGAGAGCCCTGTAGAAGAGTTCCGCGAAAGTGACCCGCTGCATATGTGGGGGACAGTACACATTAGGAATGTGAATTTATGGAGTACCTCGTTTCTGGGGAAGAACGGAGATCATGCAGTAATCATAGGGGAGGTCTAGGTCTAGATCGACCTTAACAGCTGTATATGTTTTGTGAACAAGTAGACTAGTGGTAGTGCCGCCTCTATAGGAGCAGTAGCTGGAGACGATAGGGTTTGAACCGCATTCTTGAAGTTCGATGACGGCAGGAAAAGAGCCCCGAGATTGAAGGAAGATTAAAAGATGTGCACGCTTTCGTCTGTTCCCGAATCCCCTGCAGTTCCATTGAATGATTTCGAATTGAGACGATAGTGAAGATGTAAATGACACAGTCGCCATGACGAAGATCTAAAGTTTTATCGCTCATCCCCCATGTCCTGCCCCTGACTTTGCAGAGTTGGAAGGGGGACGGAAGCTGGATTGAAAGCCGCTAAAGGGGAACCGGCAACGTTGCGTCGACGCGGGACAGAATTGCTGACCGTACAGGCCGAGCTTGAGCGAGTTTTGGTGCGAAACTGGGTGACAGCCCAGGCCTGAACCGCCTAAACCACCTCAGCTACAGTGCGTTGAACATTAATGTTAGACAGTCGCAGAGAACAGCATTTTCAAGGTGACTAATGTGGTCCTCCAATGGTAAGGTTTGGTCTATAGAAGGAATGTTCTGAGTTCCCCCTGAGCTGGAGGGGCAGCCGACGCCGTCGTCGGGGAAGTGGTATCAATACGCGGGGTGGGCGTAGCAGGATGGTCAAGTTTAAAAGGTTGTGGGTTCAACCAATGGGGTAGCAGTGGGAGCTCCTGCCAATTTCTGCTGTTGCAGTTCGAGAACTGCGACCTGCTTAGTGAGAGCTGCGTTTTGCCACTGAAGAAGCGCGTTCTCTTCTCGTAGAGTGGAGAGCTCTAGGGAAGAAGAGAGAGGGGAGGAAAGGAGAGGCCGAGGAGCATTCATTTCTGCCCAGCTGCTTACCTGAGGTGATCCCATGACAAGTGGCGGGTAGTGAATTGAGGTGGCCGACGGTGGGGTCGGCGGGTCAGTGAGAGGTGAGTCACGCTTGGCTTGCGTATCCGCTGGTGGGCCTGTTATTAGGGGTGCAGTCCGCTTTGGGGTCGATGGTAGCTTAGGTTTCTGATACTTTACTGGGCATCCCCGAGCACCTGTTTCATGTGGCCCGGAGCAGAGGAGGCTTGTCGGGTTGCATTCATATTGAGCTAGGTCTTCAGGAGTCACTTGAACTAGAGTTCCACAGAGGGTACAGCGACCGGGAGAAGGTCGTGGACAAGCCGAGGGTCGAAGACCAACGATGCCGCAGAAAGAGCAGGCTGGGATGGGTTTCTTATACGGGCGCTCGTAGGCCACGACACTGTAGTAGAAGATGAAGCGGGGGAGCTTCGTGCCCTCGAAGGTCACCACCGCTGCTCTGAGAGTGACCAAGTTTTCGGACCACAGGATAGTGCCTCGCAGCCATTCAAGTTCAGATTTGATGCGCGTCTGGGTTTTAGACGGGTTGATGGTGATCACAACCCGCAGATTTCCCCTGACGCCTTGACGTGGCCCCGAAAAGGGAGCTGTTGGTCTCCCACCAGCAACTGAATATCCACAAGAAGGCGCTGCGCCATGGATAGTGATGTGACACTGCGCGCGAGAACGTTTTGGTCCCACACTTGCCACACATGGAGCGTACTGGACGAGTGTTCTCCTAAGTATTCACGAATCGCGTCATCGACACGATCGAACTAGAGGATGGATTTGAGCTCGAAAGGAGCGCCCGGCTTCAGCACGACGATGTAATTGTCACGAGAGAGACGAGGTGTATAGCTTGCTCATTACTTGACTTGACGCATCAGCGAGGCAGGAGCTGTGGTGCACGCACCATTCGTAGAGGAGCGCGAGGACGAGCTGGAGGTTGCCACCTTTTGCTGGGCCACAGCGCGCAACCCATTTCCTTTGGGCGCAGACGCGGTCTGGTATAGCTTCCCTTCCCAGAGTTTCACAATGTCAGCTAAATACTCGTTCTCCAACGGCATGGCTTGGTCAGAGGAGGTGATCTCCATTGTCGCAACTTGAAGTGTGCTTGGGTGATAGCCCCTAACCGTGGTAGTTGCCGCCAGCGCGCCGGGAAAACTCGGCCGTTGTGGAGCTAGCCCTAACGGGACGCGGCCTAGCCTAACGGGACGCGTCGGCGTAGAGATAAAACATGAAGAAGTTGTCGAAAATGTGGCCCACCTGGACATGGGTGGCATCCACTCGGAGCAGAGAAGAGAACTTGGTGGTGACAATAAGGACAAGATTCTTTGCCACTGGTGTGAAGAACAGCAATAATTTATTATCACTGACGGAGCCGATGCGGGAGCGTCCGTCTTCGTCGAGCACTCCTTTTAGTAGGCTGTAGTAGCAGGCGAAAGTCTTTATTACGTTCAGTAGAGAAGGAAGCTTTATCTGTACTTGTCAATAAACAGCTGAGCACAGTGACATTTTCTTCGACGAAAGCGCGCCTGATGCATGTTTTTTTGCGGCCTCAGGGACCAGAATAATGACAAAAAACATGAAAGGTTTTTATGAGACCGCGCAAAGATGTATTGATAGGTTTGCCACATTAAAGCAAGCCTAAAGAAGAGGCAAATATTTGAAACAATGAATTTAGTGTTTGCATATATTGTCTAGGATTCTCTCGACATCTAGAGCTTCATCATTTTTTGACGCAATTATGCGGGAATGGCTTTTACCCACAAAATATGAAAATGAAAAAAAGACCGAATCACTCAGCAGAACGAGAATCTTCCTAGAACGCTCGAATATATTTGCACTTGGCCGTGCACAGGACGCATGCGCATAATGTAAATCACTTCCCCGATATGCTAATTCTTACAGTGCTGTTTCCTTGAATATATTACTGAATATCTGATGCAGAAAACAGCGTGTAATATCGCACTCCCTCTTCAGGCCATTAAGCAGCATTACTGTGCAGCGCCGTCGACAGCTCTCGTTACTTTACGAGAATGTTGAAAGCTGCCATATCCAGCGCGCGTGGTATATTTGCAAGGGTGTACGTATGGTATAGCAAATGAGATTTTTTTCCTCTCGCGGTGAACTTTTCTTTCAAAGGAAGTGTGTTTCCAGGCTTCGGTTTTCCTGTATTGCTCTTCGACAGCTGCTATAACGAAAATATTAGAATAGGCAGTATTGTTTAGTCGGGCAAACCACGGTGCATAAATATAATCTCGCGTACGGTGATGGCATGAATTCATTGCTCTGGGCTGCTACGAAGCATGGTTATTATTATTCGTTTCACAATCTTTTAAGAACACAAATATTCAGCCAACAAAAAAAAAACACGCATGGGCAAGATTGTTGCCTGCACATTGCAAGTCCTTTTGCATTTGTTAAATTCGGATCAAGCAACCAGACTTGCTTCCTTTCTGACACTGCTTACGTCATATTCAACCTCGGCGTTGCTTTTCCGAATTGTTTAAGATATCAACCCGGCACAAAATTCAATGAATCTGATATTCGGTGTTCTACAACATAAGTTTTGCTAAGCCTCAGTGATTATTATTCTCTGAAGATTCTGTGAATACTAGCAGCTTTCTCGCAGTAGGGCCTTCGCCAGATCACCATATTGCGCAGTGCGGCTGTTAGTCGTGACTGATAAGCGTGACGAGTATTGTTTCTTCCGCTTCTCCGGTTCCTGTATTTGAAGGTAAGTACGAATTATACAAAAATTGATGTTGGACATGACATTTAGAGCCACTTGTACACTTTGTGACGCTTATAGTTAGCTACACGCCCCAAGACGGCACCAGAAAATTATGGTGACGTAGGGAAGCGCGACCTTCTTCTGAATGTCCGCTGCCAAAGGGCTGACCTGTGTGGTAGTCGGAATTATCATCCGTATAGGCTTACGACCTCTGGCTGGTGCAGGTTACTTGCTGAAGAGAAGCAGTTATTGCTGAATTCTATAGCATTTGCCACAATTTTATGCTCCAAATTCACCATATAAAAAGTACCAATGTTTAAGGTTGTGAAAATATTGACTCTCCGTGGTTCTTTGACCTAATCCTAAATATAGTCACACGAGCGCCCATTGCTTTCAATAAAATGCAGTTGGTGAGGCCAGAATTTGACCCCACGACTTGCGGGAGAGTAGTGAAGCCCCATTGCCATAAGACCACCTCAGTGGGCATTAGTATATGGGGCGTGTTCCCGGAAGGAGGGGGGGGGGGCAGTGGGTGGTACCCCTACCTCCAATCTGGCAAGAGGTGGGTGTAAAGTCTGTTCCATACATTGACTAAATAGGAGGAGGCGTAGAAGCCCTGCATCGAACCCCTCCTGAATAAACAACCTGCGCAAGCTTTTGATCCATAATTTATCTTGCATTATTGTTAAATCGCATACTTTTGTATAAGGTGCACGAGTGTTCTATTATTCGCTTAGGTTTGACTGCTTTCTACTGGAGGAGTGTATGATGCCTGAAAAGAGCCCTCCGAACTTCGTATAGAAGAGCTGCTGAAGCATCGTAGTTCGCACCTGTGAGCAAGTTCCAATCATGGGTGTCAAACCGAAGGTAGAGCTGGATTACCAGCTGAGGCCCTGACTTGAGAAAAGCCTCGTACAGGTGTAGTAGGCGCAGATCTGTCGTATGCCGCTTCAAAGAATGTTGTGTTGGGTTGTCCACGTGCTTCTTGGCAAGAAGCCCGAGTATTAGAAAATGCCTGTTGTAGGGAAAGAAAAACAAAGAACGTTAAGTTTCTCGCATCGGCAATTCTAACATTCGTGACAGCGTTCACTCTCAGTCTACCTGTACAGCAAGATCACTCGAATAGAAAAACATACGGCCTCTTACTCCCCCCGGACACAACGGGAACCTCCTAGTTGAGCATATTACTACTGTGGTACCACCAAATGATCCGGAAGAAAGTGGTCTAAAGGGAACAAAAAGCATTTCGTGTCTCTGTTTTGCGGGTAATCTTGCGAAGCTGCATACTCGTGACGAACATTGTTTGTGGTCATATCATCGACGTTGAGCAGTCGCAAACACGCAGCCCACGGCTTCGACAGGAATGAAATATGTCCAACTGTGATAAATGACACTTGCATTAATTTCTCCCGTATTGCGACATTAAATAAGAGTTTGTTTGTCACAAGCACTTTATACTTTTTAAACACGATAGTCTTTTTAACACGAAAGTAACACGAATACCTGGAGAAACAGAGATGTCGGTGACGTACTTCCGTCATGAAAATGACGTGTAAAAAGGCCTTCCAGGTGACGTAAAGTTAAGTCCCATCTAATGCAGACCCAATAAATTTGTTTCTTTCACTTATTCAGGGGCGAAGTGAAATAATTTCCGTCAACAGAAGTTCATCATATGACGTCTCGCTCAGCGGCAACAGCTGCCGTGTACTCTATCAATTGCAGCAAGGTTTATTTTGGTTGACTGTTCCCTGACCACATTTGCAATAACTTTGACGTAAAGGTCACAAGAACAAATAGTATCAGTCCACCTGGACGGGCACCAATATCAAACTTCCTTGAAAGCTGTCAAAAGTTCTGCCGTTGACAACCACTCATGTATAGTCTCCCGTGTTTTATAATGGTAACAAATTTTGGCACGCACTTTCGGGTGTACTCTCTCGTGGGTCATACATCTGGATTACAGTAAAAGGCTGCAATACAGCACCGCCATGAGCAGTGGACGCCTGTTAACATTATTACAAAGAGCAAACCACCCTTGTTGTATATAAGGCGAAATCAGATGCCACTTGTGTCCAGCGAGAATTCCTCCTTGATTATCATCTGCACCACATTCTTAGTATACACGTCTTCCAGCACTATAGAAAAAACGTGATCAATGTTTGCTGCTTATGACAAATTACACAGTATGACCCCCAAGATAGAAAGAAAGCTTGCTCTTCTATAAATATCTTCACGTGCAAAGTAACAGTGTGAAGTAAAAAAAAGTCTTTGTAGCATGAGCTACTTGAATTGTTGTAATCACCTTTTTAGCACGTCCTGCCCTTGGTCTCCACTTCATAAAGCCTTGTACATTGGAACAGATGAAAGTGTATCACACACATCTCTGTACAGCGTTTTGTGTGTAACTGAAAGCAGGTACTTATTAAAGCTGGTAGACAAAAACTTGGCCTTAAATCTGCATGTTACTCTGCCAATGTCATCAAAACATGACAGTCTTGCGTCCGGAGAGAGTGAAAAAACCATTTATTTCACGTTCTGCGCAAGGAAATCGGTGAATGGTATTCTGAAGGCGCTGCGTTAGAGTGCCTCGAGCGTGCAGCGGAGGCGAACGAGGGCATCGAGGATGGATGGATAGATTGATGGATGGATGGTTGGATGGATGGATGGATGGATGGATGGATGGATGGATGAATGGATGGATATGGCTGAACCCTTTAGATCGGGTGGCGGCTAGCGCCACCAAGCCGTAATAATTATTGAACCAAAAGCTTGATTTAGTTTTTTTTCCTTTTAAGAAGTGAGTTTGAGAATTCGTACTTTGCAGTGAAGCGTTTATTTTCATTCGTGCCCTGACTTTAGCCACCAATCATATAACCTCCTTCTAGTTAAATCTACCCGCTTAAAGTCTATTTGCTCTCCCTGTTACTGAACCCAGCTGCTTTGAAAAACTGTGCGCCATCATCCTGAACTATAGGGCGAAGCCCTTACAGAACATTATCAAGTGTTCGGCAGTTTCTTCTTCCTCTCCACACGCACTGCATACCGTGTCTACCCCTTCGTATTTGGCCCGATATGTCTTGGTTCGCAATACTCCCGTCCTGGCCTCAAACAGTAGAGAACTACCCCGAGTATTATCATAGATCCTTTCCTTGGCAATTTCCTGCTTAAAAGTTCGATAGACATCCAGTGCGGACTTCTTAGTCATGTCAATTCTCTACATATCGGTCTCAGCTTCCTTCACTTTTGAGGCACTTTTGACACGAGCGCCTTTCGAAAAACGAAAGAAGGTGTGAGCGCTTGTGGAGAAAGATGCATGCCATTTTCGGCGGCGATGAGGTGTAGAACGCAAAGCGATGGACAGGTGCACACACCGTGTCGTTTTAGCAAAGCGTTGGTAACACGTGCCTTTATGGGCATCGCGTTGCACTCGAAGCGCTGTGTGTTTAATGCTACGGTCTTTAGCATTACTTGTGTGTGCCTTCTCTAGTATAAAGGCACACATACACAACATCGACGTGTCTTTATGGTTCTCAGACATGCGCAATATTTGCTTTTTATTTGACAATCGCAAAAGTATGAACGCTGAAGCTTGAGTAATCGTGGGCGCTGCGGATGTGGTCGGCCGTTTGAGGTATCGCTAAGGGCCGACAAACAAACAAATGTACAGACAGACAGACAGACAGACAGACAGACAGACAGACAGGCAGGCAGGCAGGCAGGCAGGCAGGCAGGCAGGCAGGCAGGCAGGCAGGCAGAACAAAAATTTTCCGTCGAAGGTCCCCAAGAAAGACTGTCGTCTTTAAAAGCGGATACTCGATGTCACCTCCCTGAAATATCAGCGGAAAGCACCATTCTTGTAGTGTGTACAAACTAAGCATTCATGTAAAGCCCTCATTCGCCTCAGTTGGCACACCGTACGCAAGAAAGTATCAGTCACGTTTGAAAAAAAAACGTGTTTTTATGATTTTCTTCATGTTTAGATGTGGTTGTCCTATACCACTTTTCCTTACTCGCCTAAACAGATTATTTCGACAGCATTGTTTCTTCTTTAACGCCCGGACGAACACTGCGAAGACGCGACGAAAATTCTGGAGATTAGGCCATGAGCAATGCAGCACCTGAATCTTGTGCCATAGCTTCGAGATGAAGAGATCGCAAAACGTAGCTCTCGAGGACATTGATAGACGACTAGCCTTAAACCTAGTTGCCTTCAACTGAATTTATTTCGCCTGCTCATGGCAATGGCTATCGTTGTCTGTGTGGTGTTCTAGTGGTACCACTAGATACTTCACATGTATCGTCCATCACTTAGTATTGCAAAAAAAAAAACTCCTGTCTGGAGGACTGCTCTTCATGGCAGAAACCTAAGCACTTTCCCTAGATCACCCGACTACCAGTTGCATTGTCGAAACTCTTCCCCACAATTGAGGCCTCCGCGAAACATTTTTGTCTGCGCAACAAAATGAGACATCGTCCACATATGCCACAATGTAAACTTCTGATGCCTGGAACCTTAATTCGATAATGCTGCAGTTGTCATTTATTGCTAAGCGAAGCATTTTTACCTAGTTGCTGAAAAATAGAGGTCCAAGCGCGCATCCCGAACGGACAAAACGCCCAAGTTTCAAAAGAACCCAAAGGCCTAATAACTAAAAGCCACGCCATCCCTGAATACTCAACGAACATTCCCGTGGTCTATTACGGCAAGCAGCAGGAACTGAGAGGCACAGTCAAATGCCTTTTCTAGTTTAAGCCACGCAATCGCCACATATTATTCAATAACGTCGCAACACTGGAGAACGCCTTGCTATTTCTGCATATTCGTCAAAATGAAACGTCCCATAAGGACGCATGTTTGGCGAGATCCAACCAGTTCTTTGACGAAACCCTGAAGTCACTGCGTTAATATATTCATCAAGATTTTGTAGTTGTAGTTCATGATATAGGCCGATATGACGACACGAATTCTTAGTTGTCTGTCTCTTTGGTTATTGGCATCAAAATAGTATGTGCTGCTTCACTAAAAGACCAAAGCAGAATACGTATATCACTCGCTAAAGACACTGTGAGTACTCAAGATAATTGACATTGAAATGTCTAGTGAAACACAGCACTGAGGCCATCAGGACCCGGCAGCCTACCCAGACTGAGGTTACCCTACTGCAAAAGCGGCATCTTCAGCGTGATGCCAGTACGTTTTTCAGCACTGGTTTATCTGGAGACACTGCTACACGCTGGTATTTACTGTTACTTCGCTAGGCGCACTGGGAAATAGCTGTGTCGAATTGGTCGGGGCACTGGCTTAACCGCGGTGATGCAGGTACACACTGAGAAAGGCTGAAAGCGCTGGAATTTTCACTGGCAAGCGCTAGCGATTACTGAAGCAGGCATTGTTTCTACCAGCGCAGCGTGCACATTTATGTAGCGTGTGCCGGGGCATGTTTCGGTGTCATTTAATATAAAACGCTTGATTCCACGGCACCGATGAATGCTACACTAACAGATCCCGAGCATACGCAATTTTTGCGGTGCAGCAATTATTGCACGTTTTTCGCATGCCCCCGAGTATAACGGCAATATTCGCATCAGTCGTGTATTGCTCAAATGATTCCTTGTTGCAGCGCTTATAATGCCGGAGCTGGACTCCACTGCCAACAGAAACAGGAAATTAATTATGCCACCACGTTGACGAACGGTAAATGAGCTCTCTCGATCGCTTCTCAAGGTTTCTTTGCGAAGGCGATACCAACAGCGTTCGTTCGATTCCGCCACTCCGTAAATGAATGTCTGGGCCAGCTTATCATTCTACTTACTTCAGGTAACAGTTAAAAATGTTCTGAAGCTCAAATGCAGAAACTCCAACCATGCCCCAATTCACCGCGTTGATAACTGTCTTATCCAGTGCTCGGCAAAGCGAGCATTATAGACATATTGTACCGGCCACGTCGGAGTATATGTTATCGGCGCTTCCTGCTTTGTGTACATACAGTTTTAAAGTGTGAGAATAACTTTACA